TCCTGAATTGTTAAATAACTCTTTGAGGCTTCAGCAGTGTGAGGATGTTTGTTGCAGCAAGTCACAAGAAGATTACCTAGCAGTACAATCGAATTAGAATGAGAGGAGTGTAAAGGGTTATATGAAGGAGGAAGCATGCAGACACTGCAAACAGAGAGATGTGTGTAGGGTGGCTGTCCGTGGACTTGTATTGTCCATCTCTATTACAGTACCGATTTCTTTTGTATGGCCACAGCTTGTGTGTCACCAACATAGTTCATTTATGTTGCAGGCTTGTCCTACTTTACAGGGTCATTTACCTGTACGTGAGCTCTCAGGGTGGATGCAGGGTGAGTCCTGCCATCTGAAAGCGCTATTAAATATGAATATATAGAAATAAACAGGTCATAGAATGAATTATATATGACATATAGTTCACAAATGTCATTGCCTGCCTCGCTGCCTGTTTATACTCCAGCCAGAGGAATTTCCCATTGACACGAATAGGACTTTCCCCTGCTCACCACTATACACAGGCAGATAAGGGCAGGAGGGGTAGATTGTGCAAACACATTAGGGAATTACGAATCTGGAAGGTGTTTTTACCTGTGCTGTCCACACAGTCATATATAATATAGATTAGAAGTGCTTGTTTTAGGTATGCGTTGCTGTCCGTGTCATCGTTTAACACAAAGGAAATAGTTTGGGCTGGAATGACATTTTAAGGACATGTCTATGTTCTAACTGACTCGTGGTGCCAGCTTTTCCAGTCATTAAAGAACAACTATGAGAAAATAAAAAAAACTTAGCCTTGCAGCAGTGGTGTCACAATGGGGTTGCAGGAGGTGCAGGCCGCACCCAAGTGTCACCATTGCAAAGGTGACCCCAAAATGACTGAATCAATCAGATGGGTGCGCATGCGCGATGACATTACGCACATACCCAATGACGACATGGCGAGGGGTCACCTGGTCTAGAGACCGGGTGAGACCCGACCTCGGGACGCCCTTTGCCTTGCAGTGGAGCTACCTCTGAACTGCAAGGGTCAAATGCTTGCTTTGTCTAGGGGAACAAATAAAGCAGACGTACTTACCTGAATCTTAAGGGCTTGTTCAAACCATATACAGTCCGTTCCAGCGCGGTTAGCTGCCTGGAACGCACTGTATCGCATAGTAAACTCAACCCTGTGTTTTGGGGCGGGAGGGGGTGTGGCGGTGCATTGAAGTCAATGGCACCACAGCCCCATGATCCTTTTTGCGGCCCCCCGAGAATCTTCGGACAGTAGCCACAGGTACGTTTTTAACCCTTTTGTAAACTTCTTCTTTTTTTTTTTTTTTAATGCTTTTGCATATATCTACTGCTTGATAGCCGTATATATGCAAAAACATGCAAGGCTTTAATAACCCTTTAAATCCTATATAAGCTTTAACATCTTAATATATTTACATCAGGATAAGTGATCATCAAAATATCTAAGTGTACACATATATACTAGTCTGAAAGGTTTTGTGGAGTGGATTAATGAGTCCAATTAGAATTTTTTGACCAGTTGAAAGTTGCTCTTTTGAGAGAACATGGTCAATGAGTTGTCTCCTATATGCTGAGCATATGAGGCTGATTCCCATAGGGAGAAAAAAAAAATGTATATGTGCTTATCCCAGAAAAAAGAAATAATTTGAAGGTCGGATTGTATAAAAAAAAAAATTGGTCGGTGTAAATACAGTGTATGGAGTGCTACTGGTATTGTGGTGTGGCTGTATTGTATACTTCACAGCCTTTCTTCATTGCTGAAAAGAGCAACAGGCATTCTGTCAGCCTGGAAATCGGATTACATTGACCTCAGATGACCTCAGGGCCAAACAATTGTCCTCCTCCGCACACAAACGGGTATTTCCCCAAACAGATCAAGAAAACAAAACATCAATCATTGGAACACTTGTAAAGCCAAGAAGCTGCCAGCAGAGGGAGACATTGTACATATATTGGGTGTACTGCAAACATTACTGGATTTTAGGGATGTCCCGATACTAGTATCGGTATCAGGGCCGGTACCAGGCATTTTCATGAGTACTTGTACTGGTGAATGCCCCGATTCTTAAGGCCGATGCTGGCCATTTAAATTTTTGTCGGGTCCTCTGCAGCCTGCTGGGGACCTAGCAGTAGCTGTCCCTGGCAGTGCCTGTCCGGGTCTATACCTCCTGCTTCTCCTTCCCGGAACAGCCATGGGCAGCCCTACACAGAGCACAGTACAGCCCCGGACACCGGCACCCATCCGATCAACTCACAGCCCCGCAGAGATCCACATGCTGCCCAGGTGAGATTGCAGCCTTCTGCCCTGTTTGGATGTATTGGGCTGCTGTGGGGGGGGGGATCATGTATTGGGCTGCTGTGGGGGGGATCATGTATTGGGCTGCTGTGGCTGCTTTGTGGTAATTGGTATGGGGAAGTACATGAGGGGAAGTTTTTGGTCTTGGTGTTATCGGGACATCCCTAGTTGTATTGCATTACAATGTAAGCCCTTGTAGAATAGACTGATCTGTACAGAGATGTCTGTATACTGCTTGTGGGGATTGGTTTCAATGTAAAACCTGCAGCTGGTGTCCTGTCCAATCAGGATTAGTATATCTGTACAATGCGGTTTTGTCTTGCAGGAATATACGGTGTTGGTAAAGCTGCTGAATATACGCCTGCCCTGGTCATACTGAGCCATACACCAGAAGGTGCCACGCAGACCATTGCCT